TACAAAATCTTGTAGGAAAATTAAATTCCCTGTCTCATGAGCATGGGAATTCATTTCCTATAACTGCTTAGGAAAATATTCCTACAACTTGACTCCAGAATACGTAACCTACTTTCCTATAGGAAAATCAACCAAATTCCTATAGGAAAAAAGTCGAGAATCGACCCCCTGATTGGTTAGCAAAAAATTGACAGAAAACGTTAGTTAGGTTAGTTATTTTATTGTAATTTTGTTGTTCATTTTAAGTTTATTTCGTACTTTAATTGAAAAATTTTTGTGGTTTAAGTAATTTTGGTGCATTTAATTGCTTTAAAATGCCAGTGAAGTGTATTGTGTGCTCGAGAAAGTATCTCAAGTTCAGTTCGATAACGTTTCATAGGTAAGTAAATAAAAACCATTACCGTTTCATCACACTTTTTTGAGGGGTATCATAATTCAAAATAAGGTTTAAACAACAATTTATTTTAAAGTTTAAAATAACATTCAACGTCGAATTTTGAATTATTTTATTGTGCCTGAATAACTTTGAATTTATTAATAGGCTATCTTTAAATTAAAGTTATATTGTTATGCACACTGTACATTTAAGAAGGCTCTCGTGGCATTCACTTTAGTTATAAAATCTTAGTATTGCTTTATTTTAATGACAAAATATATTGTTAGAACACCATAGTTATTTTAAAGCATACTATGTTGCATTCTGTATTACATGAAATCCTACCTACCTATATGAATAAGAAAACACTATTTACACCTATTTAGGTTTCCAAAAGATCCTCAAACTAGATATATATGGATGAATAGTTTGAGCTTACGTGAGGATGAAGTGAGTGTATTCAGTAGAATTTGTTCAAAACATTTTGAGGATTCTGCCTTTGCTAAGTCTCCAGGAGGAAAAATGTTTTTAATGAAAGGAGTAATGCCCTTATTTTACTCACATCCTGAAGCTGTTCCTCAACTGGAAACTATGTCACATTCTAAACCTTCTACATCTGAAACTAAGTGAGTATTTGAACAAAAACTATAAATAATAAAAATGTTTTTTTGACTATGTCTAATTAATGTCTAATTAATTTGATTATTCTAAGTATTAGTACAGGAACCAATAAATTTTATCATTTTTTAATTACCTTATCATGTTATTTAAATAACTACAATAATATATGTAATTATTATATATTTTCTTATTGTCTAAATTAAAAAAGGTTTCATTTAGCTGAAATGAATGTATATTATATTTACTTATTATATAGTTACACGTCACATAATTAATTTAATTTGTAAATTGTGTAGTAGGAAAATGGTTGCCGGTATCGCATCATCCTGGAAATATCTAATTCGTATTCTTGGAGACTCGTCTCGTTTCTGTTTACGATTCTTTAACTGTAATCAGTTCACCTGCTCCAAGTGATCGTGTGTAATTTGGTTTTTAAGTCTTTCAAAGTCATCCGTTTTTTCCACAGGTACAGTCTGAAGAACATCTAAAGCATCCCCTTGAAAGGCGATGGTCACATTTACTGACTTTTCTCGTTCAAACTGTTTTAGGTAACTGATCCAAGACGAGATTAAAAAAGAATTGAGCAGTAGAAGAACCGATAATTGGATCAATCTCTTGAAGCTAAGACAGGATAATATACTTCTGGGTGAATATAACCAGAAAAGATCGGAAGCCTGCATCTGCCTGAGCAAGAACGGGCTTCGTATTGTAACAGGGATCCTTACAGGGAATTTTCGACTAAAAGGACACCTTAGTAAACTGAGAGTAGTAGAGGATAGCGATTGCAGATTCTGTGAGGAGGAGGACGAAACCTCCATTCACATTCTAACTGAATGTGTAGTACTCCAGAATCCAAGGGCACTATATCTAGGAGGATATCAAATAGAAGATAGAGCGATTTACCTAATTTAAAGCCACTTCAAATCCTACACTTCCTTGAGAAGATAGGATTGGAAGGGTCGTTATAGGCATTAAGACATTTCCTTGGTGCATTAGCGACAGAAGGGGACACAATAGATCTTTTAGCTCGCAGTGTATTAACACCCCATTCCCAACAACATCTCAAGTGAATGTATATATTTACTTATTATCTAGTTACACGTCTCATAATTAATTTAATTTGTAAATTGTGTGGTAGGAAAATTGTTGCCAGTATAATGGGTTTTATTTATCTATAGTTAATGAATATTAGTTTTATTTATCTAGGTACCTGTCACATAATTATTTGATTTATAAATTATGTGAGAGGAAAATTGTTGGCAACTAAATTATTATTATAATCGCCCCATTATCTATTATTAATTGTTATTAAACCAAATGAGTACAATATCACGTCTCTAAAAAATTGCTTAACGTTGTTCTATTTCTAATTGACAAGAATTCATCGAAATTAAGTTTTAAAAGCCAAAATGTTTGAGTTTATTATTCAAAATATTGTGTATTAGAAAACCTTGGCAATATTTTAAAACGATAATTGTGACATTATCACTTATTATATAAGTATCGCTTCATTCTAAACTGTTATTATAACATTTGTATTTGTTTTATTTTCCAGATCTAACCCAACTATTTAATAAAATTAATTACATAGGTACCTACCTATTATAAAAATTGTTTTTTTAACCCTGCTTTCCCAATTATTAAAAACCATAAATATTTTGTACACAAAATTTAATTAACTTATTAAAAGGGACTAACAATAAACAGCTACTTTATTCTATTTTTTATTACATATATAAGCGGTACTCATAATAAATCAATAAAAATAATTTACAAAAGAATCGATATTATTAAAAAATATTAGTACAAAAATTTAGAATTTATAAAACCTATATCATTGCAACGTTTATTCAAATTATTTGTGTATAAAAATAATGTTTGTTTTAAATTTAAAAAATCTGATGTGTCCAACACATGACTTTCCTATCTAGTTATTATAGGCATTTTCCGGTTATTTTGTACAGACTATTGCAGCATCTCTATAAATGTTTAGAGGATAAACTAAATATATACATTTTACACATACATCTACCTCGAAATATTTTTCTATAGATATTCATTGAAAACGAAAATACAAAAAAATTAAAATTTAGCACTTTTCCATTACGGTCCATTTTAGAAAAATCATGTATAAACAAAAATTATAGAAATCGATATCGCAAACAACTTTTAGTTCAACAATTTTCATAAAAATCAGAATTTTGCACATTTTGTCAAATTTCTCGAATACGGACCATTTCAGGAAATTTTGACATAAAACAAAATTTATAGATAATAATATTAGAAGTAACTTTTATTTGAACAATTTTCTTCTCCAAACATAAATAACAGATATATTCCATAAAATATAAAAACGGCCTCCCATAAAGTACCCCCCCAGATGTTCCGACTTTGTCCAAAATCTAATCATTTCACGTCAGGCCGAAATAAACCTTAAGTTTAAAATTTAATGTTTTTTCCTTTATCCGTTTTTGAGTTTTCTTCAAATTTCGAAATTTACACATTTTCTTAAATATCTCGAATACGGTCCATTTTAAAAAAATTATGTATAGGACAAAAATTATAGATAATTATATTACAAACAACTTTTATTTAAACAATTTTTATAAAAAATTATGTTTTTTACATTTTGTCAAATTTCTCGAATACGGACCATTTTAGGAAAATTTTGCATAAAACAAAAATTATAGATAATTATATTAGAAGTAACTTTTATTTGAAGAATTTTCTTCTCCAAACGTAAATAACAGATATATTCCATAAAATATAAAAATGACCACCTATAAAGTACCCCCCCAGATGTTCCGACACTGCCCAAAATCTAATCAGCTCATTGGACGCTGAAACAAAGCTTAAGTTTAAAATTTGGTGTTTTTCTGTGTATCGGTTCATGAGTTATGCGTTATACAGACACACACACACACACACACACACACACACACACACACACACACACACACACACACACACACACACACACACACACACACACACACACACACACACACACACACACACACACACACACACACACACACACACACACACACACACACACACACACACACACACACACACACACACACACACACACACACACACACACACACACACACACACACACACACACACACACACACACACACACACACACACACACACACACACACACACACACACACACACACACACACACACACACACACACACACACACACACACACACACACACACACACACACACACACACACACACACACACACACACACACACACACACACACACACACACACACACACACACACACACACACACACACACACACACACACACACACACACACACACACACACACACACACACACACACACACACACACACACACACACACACACACACACACACACACACACACACACACACACACACACACACACACACACACACACACACACACACACACACACACACACACACACACACACACACACACACACACACACACACACACACACACACACACACACACACACACACACACACACACACACACACACACACACACACACACACACACACACACACACACACACACACACACACACACACACACACACACACACACACACACACACACACACACACACACACACACACACACACACACACACACACACACACACACACACACACACACACACACACACACACACACACACACACACACACACACACACACACACACACACACACACACACACACACACACACACACACACACACACACACACACACACACACACACACACACACACACACACACACACACACACACACACACACACACACACACACACACACACACACACACACACACACACACACACACACACACACACACACACACACACACACACACACACACACACACACACACACACACACACACACACACACACACACACACACACACACACACACACACACACACACACACACACACACATCATCGCGAAAATAGTCAAAACGGATTCAGGGGACCTCAAAACGTAAAAATCCGTCGAAAACTCGAGGTCGAAAAAAATCATGATTCCTATACTTTCCTTATATCTGTATACAGATAGGAAAGTAAAAATATATGTATTGGTCGACTGAAAAATTCAGTTTTGACGGTTTTCTATAAACATCTCATATTAGAAACATTAATCCATTGAAATATCTCAAAACTAATAAAATAATATAAATCAAAAGCATTTCTATTGACATTTATTTGATACGCTACTGGATAATAAAAGTAAACAAACCCCGCTCTTCCCCTCCTAATAACTGGCTTGTATATGTTGCTTTCAAACAAACGCAATGTAAATTTTTGACATTCAGTTATCTATTATTATTTATTTATCTGAGATGACACATCGATGTTTTACATCGATGATTTCATTCCGATGTATCGATGTTTTCAAAACATCGTTGCATCGTTGCCATCCCTAGTAGTTTGTTGTTATTTGAGGTTAAGTCTATATGTGTATATGTCACATACTTTGCTTTTGTATATGTGGTGAACAAATTGATAAGATAAATTTAATTGTATTTATTTAAATCATTCTTTCTTTGAAGTATATATTATATACTTACATACATGAATGTGTAATACTAATATTGTACAGGTGTATTAGAATAGTTAAAACTGAAAGTAACAAATTGTAGGTTAAAAATGACTCCAAAATCCACTACAATTTTTCTACAAAAATTAAGAAGTTCTATGCAAAATACGAAGTATGTGAAAGAACCAATTAGTGCCTACATTGTACCATCGAGTGATGCTCACAATAGCGAATATTTGGCCGAATGTGATGAATTTAGAGCCTTCATATCTGGGTTTACTGGCTCTGCAGGTACAGCTATTATAACTCAAAATGAAGCCCTTCTCTACACAGATGGAAGATATTTTTTACAAGCTAGTCAGCAATTAGATTCAAATTGGACTCTTGCAAAAGAGGGGCTACCTACTACACTCTCACAAGGTAATACATTAAATGAAATAAGTACTTACAAGGTGATTTATACATTTATTTCCATGTGATTGATACATTTATTTCTACAGGTAATATTTATTGAAATTTCGAGTTACCAATAATTTTAAATAGTCTGACATTGGTTTTTAGAAATGTTATCTCTAAAACAAATATTTTAAATCAAGAATAAATTAAATATATTCATTATCTTTCAAGTGGGTATTTAATTTATAATCTTTAAAATTTTATTCCATAAGTATTTACTCGCATATTTTTTAAATTAAATTTTATTTATTTGAATAAATTGGAAAGTTACTGATACATCTTCAATAAAGTATATACACATTTTTCTTACTTAGAAAATCATTTCAGTACATATTTAAATCTGAGTCGAGATCCGAATAGGTTTTATATTCAATATTTACAGAAACACTGTTTAGAAGTTTCATAACTATAAATTTCAAAGAAATCCTTTTAACTTGCAGGTGTAGGTTATAAAATTGCTTGTTGGGTAAACTACTGGTGTACAAACAATGTGTACTAGTCCTACTGATGTAGATATTATTTGAGTACTACTTGTACTAATTGTGTTATATTAGGGTAGGATATTTTGGTGTATCATGGTACAATAAAATTATTTAGGCTCCCACACCTGATCGGCCATCATGGGCGATAACAGGAGAGTACTTAACATTGTTTGACAGGTTTGACAGTTTGTATTTGAGTGGTATGTACTAGAAGCCATTCTTGAATAATTTACAATTTTATTAACATTGTCTATGGGTTGATTGTATGCAAAAACCACATAAGTAGCAGTAGCTGCAATCAATTCTTCATCAAGTTCCATCTTGAATGATGGACAGAAAGTAAATAAACACAGGTGATCTTGTGTATTACAGGGCAATGATGAGATCAATGATGGCCATTTAGCAATGACCCAATATGGCTAATTGTGTGGATGACAGCACAATGATGGCCCAATATGCAGTGGCGCATCATGGCCGATTGTGTATAGGAGCCTTTACAGGTAGATAAATAAATCAACAAACACCAGCGAATTTCTACTTTTAACTGGTATAATATATTAAAATATGAATAAACGAAGTTGGAATACATCAGGTAGCACCTCAGCTAGTATGTACCTATAAAATAAAATCATCCTTTAACATATTTGTACTATAATCAAAAATATGGTTTTTGGACAATCACTAATAATAATAATAATAATAATTATAAAAAATATAATACTTTATTAATCCTTTTAGATCATATACATGATATAGGATAAGTCATTTACATGTAAAGATGTACAATAGTATACATTTACAAAACAGATATAAAATCTAACTAACTAATTTAAATATACAATTTAACAATAAATACACAAAATTAAAATTGGGACTGATATGCTTGAAAACACCCATATGGCATAGGCTGTACCTTGTACTACAAAAACTACAGGAGAAATTCATAAATGCTATAGGGACATTTTTGGGATAAATAGCTTTTAAATTTGCATTTAAATGAGCTCAGACTATTAATTTGTTTTAGAGAGGTAGGTAGATGATTGAATAACCTTATTCCACAGTAGTATGAACTTTTTTTGAACATGGTTGAAACATGAGGGGTATGCATAGTAAATTGCAACCAGGAGTATCATAATTATGTTTGTCTGAGTTACGGTTAATTTTGTAGATGTTTCTTTTAACGTTATATACATTTTTTGAGAATATATATTGCTGGAAAAGTCAGTATATTATATCTTATAAAAAGATCTCTACAGGTACTTCTAGCATCTAGGTTAAAAATTAATCTTATTAGTCTTTTTTGACAAACAGAGACTCTTAATGTACCAATCGCATTTCCCCAAAGCAATATGTTGTAAGCTAAATGTAAATATGCCATCACATAGTAAACTTGAAGAAGCTGTTTGGTGTCCAACATATTTTTTAATTGGAGAATTGCATAGTACGCACTATTTATTTTTTTGCAAACGGAGTCAGTATTGAAACTCCAGCTCATATCTGCATCTATAAGAACTCCTAGGAATTTTGTTTTCATGGACAGTGGGATAAAATTATTATTTATTTGTATTAAAAAATCTGTACTTATTCTTGATCTAGAATGGAACTGAACGAGTACCTATTGTTTTGTTGTTTCCTTTACACCATGCAGTAAATTCTCTAGCAACAAGAGACAATTTGGAATGAAGTTCCTCAGGTGATTCAGCATCGACAGCAACATTGGTATCGTCTGCATATATTGAAATGTGACTGGATGAGATGAAGTTAGACAAGTCGTTTATGTAAAGGAGAAATATGAGTGGATGAAGTTAGGCGAGTCATTTATGTAAAGGAGAAATATGAGTGGACCCAATACTGATCCTTATCCCATATCCTTTACTTCTGATAAGCTACCATTGATTCTAATAGACATTTTACGAAAATATATAGTAATTAATTCATTGCAAAAAGTTACTCCTAAAACCTAAAGAATGTATCGAAAGCATCATCAGATTCATCAGTATTGTCTACCTCATACACGGGCGAAAAATATTAATTATTTCGTTTTGCATTAGGATTTGCTAAGTTTGTAAAAGAAATATATCTAAAAGTTACTATTTCATTGTTAATTTTGTTTTGTGCACATGGGATGTCTCCAAGCATAACATCCAAGCCAAAATGATCATATGGGAAAATTTGTTAAAAAATAGTCTATTTTAGATTCAGTAATGCAGTTGTTTTTATCTACCCACGTGGGGTCGCGATTCTGACAAGTTAGGATAAAACTCTGAATAAGATCAGTAAGGACATGTTTATTATAAGAATCTGTTAGAAAGTCAGTGTTAAAATCTCCACATAAAAATACAGCATCATAAAAAAAACAACAACACGATTTAAAATATATGACAATTTTTTTATAAAAAGTTCAATATTTCCAGAGGGAGATCTGTAGACGTTTAAAATAGAGTTTATATTCTTTACAGAAAACGATATAGCACAGCTTGCGAAATGTATTTCTTCTGATAGGCTATTTATAAAATTTACTGTCTTATATGCAGGGCCGCTGAGAGCCAGGCCGGGCCCCAGGACAATTCTCTAGATCGGGCCCCATAAAACAAAAAACTATTCTCCCTACTTCAATTACTTCTTCTTCTAAAAAAAAAAAGGTCAGCCGAAACTTAACTTCCTACTCTCATCTTGTGTCGAATTTCTCATGCAGAACAGAAAATACTGTTGTCGGGCCCCCCTTACAGCGCTACCGGGCCCCTATTTAAGCCCGGGCCCCGGGAATTAGTCCCGGCTACCCCCCCCCCTCTAGTCGGCCCTGCTTATATGTAATGGTTTCTTTTATTAAAATAAGTTATACACCATAAATTTAGTTGATTCTAACATATGAATCAGCGATAATGTAATCTTTAAAGTTAATAAAAGACAACGAGGTATTATTACACCAACATTCAGTTGTACAAAAAATGTCAGGATTATATTGATTCAGTAAAAGTTCAATTCGATTTGTTTTGTTAACAATAGATTGACTATTTACATTTATAATTCTAAAATTATTACAGGTGATATTAGCAGCTGACGTACTTGCAAATTTATCCTCATTATAACAACATTTATTGTATTTATTTATTATGGCTTGACTGGATGGCTATTTACAGATTTATTTGTTAGTCTATTTGGCCTATTTGGCTTTGAGTCAGTCCCATGTCTAAAAAAACCCTTATTAAGTATAGTTACATTATTATCAGTTTCATTAATATTCTCATTACATAGAGAAGTTTCAATTATTACGACTTCATTAACTCCTGATATAATATTTTCATTTTTATTTGTTGTGGTTTGTTCTGAAAACTTCATGAATGTCAAATTTTTGTCATACATTTTTTTCCATTATTTTATTTTTTAACAGCCTTGATATTTTAAAATTATTTATTTTATAACCTGCAGAGTTATTAATATTTAAGTAAGCAAAATTATTTTTTTGATACCAATCCTCAGCATATAAAATATCCTTTAGTTTCAAATTATATTTTAGTATTTGTTTAAAATTCTTTTCTATTAGAGAAACTGATAAAAATTTTACATTTGTTTGAGTACATTTTTTTATTTTAGAATTTAATAACTTAAAACTACATAGGATACTTGTTTTTTGTAATGTCGTTGCTCCCTCCTAGGACAATTACATGATCATTCGAAGTAAAGCTTTTGGTTAAATTTTCAATGTCTTCCACAATTTTATTCATTTGAGCTACAGGTTTAATGATCATTTATATCAAAGCATCTTTATTGAAACGTTTCCTTATTTCTACATCCAGACCTCTACCTCTTTCATCAATTAATATATCTATCTTTTTTTTACCATTATTGATTTGAGTATGTGTTTGTTTTTCATACTTTTTAATACCAACCTGCAGTTTATTTAATTACAAATTGTAGACTTTATTACCTTCTGATAGTCTTTTAATCGTTTCTGTCAATTCTTCATTTTTAATTTTCATCCCATTTAACTCACTAATCATTAAAAAAGTTTTTACCTTTCGCACATTTATTAGAACTTGCTAATTCGTCTAGTTTCTCCTTTAAATTCTCTATAACATTTTCATACTCAATTTTAAATTTGTTAATGTCACTTACACATGTTATATAATCGTTTTCTAAAACCTTGATTGTTGTTACCATTTTTTGTTGACTTAAGTCGTTTAATTCTATTTTATCTGTTTGTAATTTTTCTATAAAATTATTTTTTTCCATTAGTAAATTTTCATATTCTTTAATTTGATTGTTTGATTTTTGCAGATTATGCTTCAGGATATTAATTTCCTCCACCTGATTTGCCGGTTCTTCCTCGCAACTTTGGCTAACTCTTGTTAGCCTTTTAATATAACTCTATTTTTCTTCTAATTCTTTCTTTAGATTAATGACTTCTTCTATATATCGGTTTTTGTTTAGCTTCTTCCTCTGCCTCAAAATTATTTTCTTTTTTGAGCGCTTTTTCCTGAC